AATTAGACTTGGAGTGAGTAAAACATAAGTGATGGGACAGGTGATGAGGGGAAAGAACCATCCATGAAGCAGGGACGTGCATTTAATTTTCTACCCACTCCGAGTATGGATAGGTAGTAAGGTATCCTTTGGCAAGTGCATAAGGGACGGTAAAACTACCCCATGATAATCCCCCTATCCTATATCTAATGCATCGGCTGTAAAAGGAACCAAATAAAATGCCAATTAACGGTCAATTAAAACATTGTTCACATTGGATGAACAACTAGCAATATACATCTCGCTAGCACAAGGTACATGTCAATGCACTTGGATGTTTTCAGTTTCCTCATGTCAACTTTCACGAATTCTTTGACATTTTCGCACATTACCTTGGCTGGATTGGCAACAAATATGTGAGAAAGGAGATGTCTGCAATCTTGAGAAATGTGGACATAGTCTGGAATCTTGTATTGAACAGCCATTATTCTCTGCAGAGGAAGAACAACATAGCAGATAAGTGACAGCGACTAATTATAGCTGATGGACAAACAAGACTCCAAGAGGCGACTAATTATAGCTGATGGACAAACAAGACTCCAAGAGGCACGAAACTCACCTGAATAGTTTTCCTAAAGTTCTTGGGGTCTGCCTGGTCTTCAAATGGGTATGCTCCAACCAACATGACATAAAGGGTCACACCACATGACCAAACATCTGCCAGCTGCAAAATAACAAACTAAAATCAGACTGCATCTGTAACTGTAATGACTTCCTATTATCTGCTAGGAAGTCCAAGTAAAGCTAAAAAGCTTAGTCATAAGTGCCATCTGCAGATGAATTAGAATGCTTAGCCTTTCAATGTGCCTTCTCATTACAGGTGGTCATTACCTAAGAAATGCTTAAAAATAACTGCTAACTTCAATTGATCATTGCACAAGAGAGGTAATAAAATATCCAAGTAAGCAAAATTTAACTGAAGCTGATATGTCCCAATTTTGAAGAGGGAAGACAAAGTAAAAACCAGGGGAGTATTCTTGATATGAAAACTATATCATTATCTCAATTCTTTTTAACAAGTTCTACTGTAAATTTTAGAGATTAGTTTCTTTTTTTTTCTTTTGATAAAATAAGATTATATTGAAAAAGAGAGAGAAATTTACAACAAAGAGAATAAGTCATCCTCTGAGAAAGACCCAACCGAAAAAGAGAGAGGGAGGAGAAGGAAGGACAAACAAACAGAAAGGGTACATACTTTTAATAAAAACACTCCAACTTCTATGAAGAATGGAAATGCTGATGTCAAGGAAATGACCATGTGACTTGGCCCAAAGGGTAGCCAAAAAGGTAACCCTCTCCCACATATCAGTGTACTGTGTCTTCTGTTAAAGACTGAAGAGTTTCGAAGAGCCAAATGCACCAAATATCAACGAAGAAGACAGCTTGCCACAAAGGTAGAGCCTCTTTCCTCCTCACACCTCTCTCAGAAATAGAAACAAAATCCAAGTTTCCAACCGGGGGGGTGGTTTGGCGCATCCGGTAGCATCCTAATAAATCAAAAAGATAGTTTCCAAGCAATGTCAAAATGGAGAAACAAATGGGTATGAGCTAACTTGCCCCTGAAGCACATGATGCAGACATCCAGAGAGAGGGACCGATAAGGGCAGTCATAGTGTTCAACTTACAATGAATAGCAGTTCAAGCAAAAAGCTTTACCTTAGAAGGAGGCCTTCCAGAATACTTTGGCAATAGAGCTGTTGGCAGAGGCAATGGTAAGATATTGAAAGAGGGACTTACAAGTGAAAGTACCAGAGGACTCCAAGGTCCATAATCTTTGATCAGGGCAGGTAAACTTAGAAGACGACAAGGAGATCAGACACTTCCATCTCTCAGAGCAAAGGGTGTGATGGTTGCCAACAGTGGTTAGCATGACACAAGTGCAACAATGATTAGTGTGATTTGACGGGTGCGACAGTCATTAGTGCAGCGGTACTTTGGAGTTCCTCGTGGCATCGCCTTATGCGATGGTTGTCTGAAACAAAAGAAAGCTTCAAACTTTAACCTTAAACGTGTCTGCATCGATGGTGGTTAGCATGTTGTTGCATTGCAGCACATTTATTCAGGTTGTTTAGGATGTGCCTGAAAGTTATGAGGGATTCAAGGGAAGAGTTTGCAGTGGAAAGGAAATTGTTCTCAATGAGCAAGGAAGCAAGCAACAAAATGGTGATGGAAGTCCAGCTCCAGGAAAAACAGAAAAGCAGCATTTACGAGCTTGAGTTTATGTGCAGCTGTAACTTTAACCAACTGCCTCAATAATTTGCTGAAATAAAACCTTTTGTACAATCAGGACTTTAGAGAAGACGATGAAGCTGACAGCTTTGAACAAAAATTTCAAAAATTTCAGAGGCGTAAACCCCAGGATTGACAGCTTCAAAAATTCAATCTGTGGCATGGAGATAGCGATTAACATATCTCGGTCCTCAAATTGTCTAGAGAAGGCATCAGCAATTGTGTTCTCTCATCCTGTCTCATACACCCTGATGAAATCAAAACCATCAACTTGCTTAGCCACTATTGTTGGAGAGAAGTGACCATTCCTTCTTCCATCATACACTTGAGATTAAAGTGATCAGTGCAGACCACAAAAAAGTGCCCCATATTATGTAAGCAAATGGCATAAGGCCTTTGCCATCGCAATCAGTTCCTTCTCATAAGCAAGCAAACAGCGATTGCAAACCACATTCCACAATAAAGGTTTAATAGAAACCAAGGAGAGGAAAGCACTAGAGTCTTAGACATTATTTTTCACTTGCTCAAATGTCGAGACCGCTTCATCAGTCCATTTGAAGGCATTCTTCCAAAGCATGGTGGTCAAGAGTCCTACAAAGAGCCTATAATCTTTGACAAATTTTATTTCTGCCCCCCAAAGGGGGCTTGTAAAGTTTGAAGCCCACCCTCATGGTAATGAGGGTGGAACGTAACCAACTCACCGAAGGTTAGTTGGCGGTAATCTTTGACAAACTTGCAACAATATCCAGTGAGACCAAGAAAACCATGCAAATACGATAGTAATAGAGTAGGACCATTGAAGCATGGCAGAGATCTTCAAGGAGTTTCTTGTATTTTGAAGTTGGTATGGTCTAAGCAACTTATTTCTAAGCAAAGAGACACTACATCGAAAACAACTTTGAAATGATGAATATGTTCAACCCAGGTCCTACTATAAATTAAGATATCATTGAAAAAAAATAACAAACTTACATAACTGCTTGTGGAAGACTATATTCGAAATGTTGACAGCATGTTAACTAACTAGAAGGTCATGACAAGAAATCCAAATGATCATGACAACTTTGGACAATCATTTTCTCTAAGTCATCCAGTGCCATTCCAATTTGGTGATATCCTGAACGTACATCAAGTTTGGCAAATAATTGAGCCCCGTGTAATTCCTCCAATAATTCATTAATTAAAGGATAGGGAACTTGTCCTTGATATTTTTAGCATCAAAGGAGTGATATTCAACAAGAATCTCCAGAAGTAGTCTGTTTTTTTAATAAGCAACATATCGGAGGAATATTGTGACTGATTTGACCAGATGAACCTTGTTAAGCATCTTAATGCATTGCGTCTGAATTTAATCTTTTTGCTTGTAAAGGTATTTGTAAGGACGTACCACCCCCAGTGCCATTCCGACTTCCAGTTCAATGTGGTTGAGTTCATGTCATAGTAGCAGTTCATGATAATTCAAAAAGTCAGTCAAAGATTGCCAAAAGCCCGTGTAATTCTAGTTTATGGATAACTGCCACTTCATTCAAATGGGAAGAAATAGTTTTAGTGTGCACATTTGCTACTAAGTGGAAGACCCGTTTGGATGAATGAAATTAATAAGGAGAGAAAGTTCCTACATATATCTCCAAGGGTGCATAGCCAATTGCACTTTGAACTAAGTGGGATCTTGCTCACGTTCTACACGACCATGCAGAATAAGAAAAGAATCGAGCTGCTACTGGAATGTCCAGAAATCCCCCATAACCCCCTGTTCTAATACCAAGTTGTTACGTTCCTTACAATCGGATCAGGTCAAAGGTTTGTTACTGAAAAGTCTTTGAAAAAGTGTGAAGCCTGCTTGTTAGATTTTCAACCTTAATGGACAGTGATTGGGCACCTTGGAGAGAACCCAAGATCTTTTATGAGTACTCTAGTTCTGAAGAATAATTCTGGATCCTTTATTCATTATTAACATAGGCATTTAAAGGGAACATTGCTTCTAGAATTACAAAAAGAAATCCTAATTAGAAATTTAAAATAACTAAAAATAGTATATCTAAGGAAATTCTAATATGAACTTCCCAATACATCCGATTTCCTAAATTCCAACTTTTAAGGGGCCTAAAAATCCTAAATAGAAGTAGAGGAGGTTGCCTTGCTGGAAGCTGCTGCTTCTCTTCTACTTTTCTCCCATGGGTCCTTCCTTGATATACCTAACCAGCAAACTGGTTAGCATTTGTTTTACAGTTTGTGCACAGCACCTAGCAGATGGATTAACAAAATAGTTTATTTTATGTTGTGATTGCTAGAAGGAAGGAGGTAACTATCAAAATGCTAGGTTTAGGAGTGTAAAGGCAGTGGACACTGATCTAATCAGTCACTACTAATTCAACATCTTCTACCCTTTAAACTTCAATATCTATCAGCTTCTTTACCATATGGAGAACCCAATCCCTTAATTGATGCAATAACGTGCATAAATTTCAACTAATAATTATTAATGAATAATTTTGGTGCAATAGATGTGAGAAGAAATAGGATTCTGGATAAATAATGCCACCAGCAGGCTCAGTACCACATAAATAGATTAATAATGATCAGAAGAATTAGACTGTTTAAAAGAATAAACTACTCTGTTTAGCATAGTTCCTATCCCTGCAGACTTTTATATTTTCTAGGCTTAGATAGACAAGACGAATGGCCAAATTTTCCATCTCATGAGGGCCTCAAGTTATTTTCTCAATTTTTTTCACAGTAAACACAATCACCTCTACCTATCCTCATGTAGAAGCATCTTATGTTTGCAGCAAGCAAAACCAAGTTTGACCAATCAGCCCCAACGTATATACATGTATTTATAAATATCATATTAGTATCTAGATTACCTTGCCATCATATTCTCTCCTGGAAAGAACTTCTGGTGCAATATAAGCAGGAGTTCCAACCGTTGATTTTGGTCTGGAATGCAGCAGAGATGACTGAAAGAGAAGCAATCGTCACTAGAAATAATCACATATACCAGAATATATTAATGATATTTCCATTTTCATTATATTCATCAACAGACCTTAGAATAACCAAAATCACAGATTTTCAGGCGTGGTGCTGGACTTCCATCTAATAGGGTATTTTCCAGTTTCAAATCTCGATGGCAAATTTGCTGCAAAACAAATGTAGGATGGGATTACTAGATGGGAAGAACAATTATATTTTTGTACACCTGGAATTTTATATGCCTCTTTTCTAGTCGATAGTAAATTTCTCTTACCAGAGAATGACAGTAACTGACTCCTGAGATAAGCTGCTGGAAAAAATATCTGGCCTGTGAATAAAAAGATTTTCAGCATGAGTAAAATAATTTAATTGTTCAAACTAATAATTAGTAAATAGCATTGCTTTCTGATAGAAAAGAAGCTTAATTCAATTTTTTATGATGCAGTTCCGTGATGAGCATTAACATGACAAACAGAAAATATTGTAATTCAGGCACTAACTAGCTTCACTGAGCATAGGCAGAGTGTTACATTATCTTTACATCCAAATCACAACTATTACAAAGAAGGTAGTTCTTTTCTTCTACTTCTATTTCCTCCCTAGAGATTTTATTGCCATAGGAAGCATATACATGACCCAATCATAAATATTAAGATTTCAAACCCAGATTCCAAACATTTAAACTCCCAACTACAGCTTACCTCGTCTTCACTGAATCTCCCAGCATTACAAATGCGTTCAAAGAGCTCCCCACCAGCCGCATACTCCATAACGATGGCAAGGTGAGTTGGGGTCAAAACAACCTGCAAAATCCAAAACCATAAGACCAGAACAAGGAAAAAGAATAATTAGATATTCATTCATCAATAAAGAGAGCAAGAGAAGTTGAAGAAACAGCAAATAGACAGACCTCCTTGAACCGAATTATGTTTGGATGGCGTAGTGATCTGTGATTTATTATTTCTCTGGCCACATTCTCATCAATCTGCAACCAAAAAACAAATTGACACCAAATTTCAAAATCTTGTACAGAAAGCTTTTCTCAGCAAGAAAAGAAAAAGTTCAATTTTTCTTCTAATCGTAAAAAACTAGCACAAACCCAAAACTTAACATTTCTAAGAACCTACAAAAAGTAATCAAACGACCGAATTGGTCTCTCTTTTTCCTTGCATGCGAGAAATCCTTTATTTCACTATCACAACAACAATTATGCAAACACAAAAAAGAAAAATCAAACACACAAACAATGCAAAAACATGGGCGCTTTTTATAAGCATATACAGATAGATGCATGCATGCATGAAAATCAAATATGTATATATATATATATATATATATATATATGTATATCATTAAATCGGGTGTTACCTTGTGGCCGCGCTCGATGTACTTCATGGCAACGAGCTCTCTTGTGTGTTTATTCCTCATGAGCCTCGCCACCCCAAAGTTGCCGGCTCCGATGTCCTTCACTAGTTCGTACTTGTCCATTTTCGTTTCTCTCTATTAAACAACCAACAATCCTAAATCAAAAAAAGCTTTCCCCAAATTCACCTCCAATTCATGCCCTAACAGCGAGAGAAAACATCAATTTTGAGTACTCGTGGACAGCGAGAGACACACACAAAATCTCCCAATCGACAACCCTAAAAATAAGAACCTGCTGATTTGGAGAAAAGGACGGAGATAGTGGTGGGCGTACGATTGGAGAGATTTGAAGAAAAGTTAAGTATCAGAATCATTTTTGATATATTTGGTAATCAACTGTTCAGGTTAAATTTTGAAAGCCCAACCCAACATGTCATTATGAGAGAATCTTTCTTTTTTATTCTTTGATTCAGTTTTCTGTAGGAAGAGAGAAATTCAGGACATGCTTAGGGTAACATTTCTCTTCCCTTCTTCCCATCCTCATTGTCGTGTGTTAATTAATTATTGCAGGACAACAGTCTAACAAATGTCTCATATTTTTCAAAACTCTGCAATTCAATTGCTTCAGAAATTCTTTGCAATTGAATTTTGAAATTTTAGAAATTCTCTAATTGGATCCATGTTGTGATACATCGGACAACTACTATTTATTTTTATCTTTTGACAAGCATTTTTTTCTATTTTTAAATTATCTAATATAAATTAAAAGATATTTAAGAATTTAAAAAAAAATTAATTATATCTTTGTTTACATTTTTTTTGTTCAAACGATTCCCAAAATTCTCAAATTCTCTGTACACATAATTTTTCACTTTTTTAAAAAATTATTCTTAAAATTCTAATTCTAAAGAAAACTCTTTTTACTTTCTGATGGTCACGATAAATAAAAAATATTTTTTTATTAAAAAAACTAAAAAAAGGGAAAGAAGACAAGAATTAGTAAATTTTAGTACTGTAAGTTTTTCTAAACACGAGAGAATAATTAGGAAAAGAAGAACGAAATTTTTTTCGATTATTTAAAAAGATTATAATAAAATTTATTTTTAATTAAAAGGTTCAGCGTGCATTAAATGCAACTATGTCCTTTTACTCTTTTATTCTCATTAATTACATTTAATATTTATTATAAATCTATATTTTTTAAAACTTCAGCTCAAGGTAGTAGCTATATCTTTTCATGTACAACATGTATACGTTAAGAGGCCTATTGATTTCTTTCTCTTTTGAGTAGCATAAGTTTATTAATTTGCCTTTTGCATGAAAATTAATATATTTATATATTACTGTAAACAAAAACTTTCATGTATAATTTTTAAGGGTCCATGATCACTTATGTTTTTTTTTTTAATAACTTAGAAGTAATTTAGTTTTTTGTTTATTCTTGAAGACTTAGAGAAATGATTAAAATTTACGATTCTTTATATTCCAACACCAAGAGAAACATAAAAGATTTTTCTTTAGTTAATTTCTTTTCCTTTGTAAAAATTTAAGTAAATAAGTTTGTTGAAACTTAAAAAAGATGAAGATGATCATCATTTTCTTAATCGTTTTAATATTTAAAATAGTTTATAAAAAATTTAAAAAAATAGACTAATAGAACACTTTGGTGCACCACATCAACAGCCACATATATATACTCAAGGTAACTTTAAAGGCACAAAAATAAACTTATAGTTATGTTTGCATTATAATAGAGGTTAGATTATACGTTTTTCAAAAGCCTAATATTTAATTGTAAGTGAATTTTGTTAGGGGTTTAGTTACACAATTTTTAAAAGTTCAAATGTAACGACCCCAGAAATGTTCAAAGAAAATAATTGATAATTAAAGTGTGGAAGCGAAATAAATATTCAATGTTTACTTTCCTTACACAATAACTTAAAGTACCAAACAGTGTTACAGAATTCACTTTTTTGAAAGAAATATAAGAAATAAGGAAATAAACGAAAAATAAAGAAAATTAGCATCTACTCACAAACCTTTTGCGAATCGGACCCTCAATCCTGGTTCTCTTGATCTGAAATAGTTAAATAAGATATGAGTTACACTAGCCCAGCAAAAATACCACACTATATCACCGACACAAAAAAAAAATTAGAAAACAACTAATAGAGCACTAAATTAAGAAAATTCATTTATCAATAATAAAACTATTTACCGTCCACTTACCGTAATGAGATTTATAGAAAATAACTTATACAAAACAATAACATTATATGTATCATGATTCCATATATAATTGATAATATAACACATATTATACTTTCATATTCAAATCATCAAACAATAATTGCCCCTTTTTCCACCAGCCTGCTGATATCCATAGGAGTTCATAGGGGGTGTCCCCGCTACGCGTGAACCTTTTTCTTTAACATTCTCAATTACAGACTGTCCCATACTCCGTCCGATATGAATGCGAAATTACCAAATCTCAATACCACGTCCGGTATGAGGGTGAAGCAGGTCATCCCCATACCCCGTCCGACATGAGACACATTCATGGTAGGGTTTCCTGTGTACCCGGTCCGTCCACCATCTCTCAGGATGTCCAGTAAGATTGTCGTTTCATCCAGTCACTTAATCACATAAGTTTTTCGTTTACCTTTAATCTCCATTTTTTTTTAATTTAACCATAAATACACAAAACAATAATACATGAATTCAAAGCTATAAAATAAATTAATAAGGCACTATCATGCATTTAAACTGTAAAAACAATCAACAGAATCAATAGAGAATAGTTTTCAATTCTGTCTCCATTAGCAATCCGTAATTAATCATAAATATTTTCTAAATTATATAAAATACCGTATTTATTGTAAATTAGACTTCAATTATATAAAAGAGAATAGGGTGAAGGATTCTTATTCAATTTGGTGCCCGAAAAGCTAAGCTATTTACTGTGCCTACAAGCGGTTCCCAAGTTCCTTTAATTTTTTTTCGGGAATCAAAATGCGCTATAAGTACCTACAAATGTCTCAAACAAACTCAAAGTTACTCTCAGGGCCCACTTTGACCAATTTCAGAATTCTGGCACAGCGGTTCCGCTGTGCTCCGGCGACAGCGCTGTCGCCCGCGGCGGTGGTACGCCTCGCGTCAGCTGTTTTCGATCGATTTCGCATTAATCCCTGCGAGAAAACATGTAAGGGGCCTAGGTTGGCTGAAAAAATACATAAACAATCGAAACTCACCGACAGCGAGGCTCTCCGATGTGGCGACTCCTTCGGCTCACGTTGCGGTTGGGTGTTTTATTTTGGTCAACCTGTAGAGAAGGAAATGATGATCACAACGGTAGAAAAATTACGCAGAATGAGAATCGAAAAGGGCCTCAACAGAGGCGTTTTGTGAAATTTCTCGGGGCAGCACTGCCAAGTTTCGCCCATATTTTTTGGCCAATCGGCCAGTCCTTTTGCTCTGATTTGACTATAGGTGTGTTTAAAATTAAATTCTAAGCAAATAAGAAAATTTTCACCTCTTTTGGCAGTCGGAAAGGGCTCTGGCACAGCGGCGGGTGGCGGCGGTCTCATTTCTAGCGGCTAGGTCTTCTATTCCGGTGAGAGGGTCTGGTGGCTAGGGTTAGGGTTTGGTGTGGATGAGAGTTATTTATATATGTCCACTTTTGATTTGAGCTGTCCCTCGCATTTGATCTAGACCGTCTGATCGCGATTAAATAGGGAGTGAATCTGAACCATATATCGCGATCTAATTTGAACCGTTCATCGCGATCTAATATTGACTGCCCAATCGCATTCAAATCTAACCGTCCGATCGCATTTAGAGAGGGAACGCATCTGAACCGTTCGTGCGCGCGGGAACCGATCTGAGCCATTCGATCGCAGGCATGCGGATCGCCCGTTAGCCTCCCGCGTGGCACTGAATCAGCGTCCGCTGCCACGCGGCACGTCCTTATTCATAAAGGGCTGCTAACCGGACATCTTACGTGGCGAAACTTCTCTAAATTGTATTTTGACCCCTAGTTTCTGATTTTTCTTTTAGAAATA